TGAGAAGGGAAACTACGTGATTGATAAATTACACTATCGGCCACAATGCTCATATGCTCTATAATTCATTATAGTGCCCCTATATGTATTTAGAGGCGTAATTTTGCAACTAAATCATGAGGGCTGGCGGGGAAAATGGCTACATCTACTCAAAGTACACAAAAAGGTTTTACCACAAATTCGACTCATTTTCCTTCTTAAGTTGACGGGGAGCTAAAGCACATGAAACGAATAGCAAACCCAACTGCTAGCATGTCTGGTATGAGCTTAAGGCGTATCCCATGTTCCAAAGAAAAGGCTGCATGCACACGTCATTTTAGCGTGATTCACTGCCGTGCCCGCCAGCCTTATGGCCCTCTATTAATGTGATGGCCAGTGTTCCGAGTACAGTCCCCTATATTATATATATATATATTATATATATATATATATACATTATATATATATATATATATATAATATATAGTTAAGTCCTATTTTTCGTTCCTTGACTCGCCTCTGGTACATCTTTGCATGCTTTTCCTCCGCAGAAGTGAAAGCTGGGAAACAATATGCCGCTTTTGTCATTCATGTTCCAGATCATATGAATCCACTTGTTCATATTTCTGGAGGTGCTGGTGCGCAACAGTGTTTGTTCTCCTTCCTTCAGATTAACCTTTACAAACATTTTCCTGCATCAACCTTTCCCATATGAAAAGTGCGGTGCTGTGGCACCGTGGTCGTTTGAGATTGTTCCTTTGCATTCCCCTTTGCAATTCCTGAAGACACCTTTGTCACACTTGGTATCAAATGCTATGCAAACATAAACTGCAGTGAAGAGCTTTGCATTTATATGCTGCTAAGTGTTCTTTAATATGCCTTCATTCATGACCAGTAATGCCGGTCACACTGCTTGGAAACATACAATGTTTCGAGCCCTGGAACACCCACCTTACTGAAAACCCCACTTGGCTGTTGCCGTTTTGTTAAATCCCATTTGGCAACTGCCTTATTCACTGGAAGCAATTTTTAGCCATGTAGACACAAGACAGTGCGCACACTGCGGAAGAGATCACAATCTTTGAATGATCGCCAAATTTCGTTCGCGGCTGCTCCCAATATATGGTCTTCGGACCACCCCTGTGCCCGATTTTTTTACGTGGTACGCAACAAACGCATGGGAAACTTCACAAAATCGCATTAACCTGTTCAAAACCAGCAACTTTGCTGATTTCGGAGCATCTTGCGAAAAACCCACCGGGGTGTTCTCCCCGTCCTGCCCAGTTCTCCCCGTCCTGTTAAACGAATTTGGCGTATCAGACAGTTGCAGGTAATATTGCTTTGATTCCTTGAAAGCACGTCGCAGGAAAACTAATGGGAAGACTTTTGCAATGGGAAGTGACTGGCATGCTATTGACCTTTAACACTATCATGCAAGAAAGACGCGAAATACAGAGAGTAGATAAATCATTGTACAAAGCGCGAAAATGCTATTGCATTTTTATGTGGCAGGTAACTGTAAACGCACTATGTTCAACGCGGGCTAAATTTGTAACTGAAACCTAGCCATCCGCCAAGCACGAGGGAAATACCAGCCGCTGGGGCGGATGCTTTTTCTCTTTTAGTGAGCCTTGTGTCTGCGACAGTCACAAACTCCTCTTGACAGGCTCACGCCATTCTCACGACCCCACTCCCCTCATTTGATGAAATTTAATGAGTGAGGCTCTCATTAACTGCAAAACCGGTATGGCAGAATAGACAGGATGATATCGGCTTTCTGCTCGTGTGAGCGGCGCTACTGTTTGCATAATGTTTGGCTGTCTTTTTCTCGGGCGATGTTTAGGGATCAGCTAACGATGAGAAGGGCCTCCATAACCATGCATGCATTACAGCCTCTAAAGTTTCTGGCAGCTCCGAACCACGATCTCGCGACTCGCAGATCGATGTTCGAACTCCTGTGCTACCGGTGATAAGGGCTGGTGGAACGTTAGATGGTCATTTCACCCGTCTTACGATTTTGGCGGGATTTCGTAACATCGGTAGCCATATTAGGCTGGTATCTCAACTGGTCTTGCTGATGCAATGCAAACACGGTACCATGGGTGCTACTTCCTTAGTCTCTCGTACTTCCCGGGAAGCTTTTGGTCGATGATAGTCATTTCGTCCGTCTTACGACGGCGACCGATCGTCGACACGCATAAATGCTGAAAAAAATGGGAGAAGGGTTTTTGGTAGGTAAACATCACAAAACGTGATCCGTCATAACATCAAGCTTGCACACATCCACCGTGTATCCCAAGAAGTAAAAACGTATTAGGAGTAATAGCGTCGGTGGATGAATCGGAAGCGGGTTCGAAGCGAATAGTAAGATTCGAGACTGTAAGCCATGGATAGCTGTACGCCAAACATCACGATTCCCTCATGCTGTCACGGACGTACTGCGTGTTGAGCACGTGGATCAATCCTCTCACGATGGTCTCGCCACAGACATATTCACTGCACATTTATGCACCACACATTCCAAACCTAACGACCTACTGCAAACGACCTAAGCCTGAGTCTGCCTCATCACATTTAAGAGCACATCATTGGTTCGGAGCTATGAATCCATAGCAGCTCGACGAATCAATGGAAACCGGTGGAGTAAAACCCAATCCCCCTCCCCCCAAAAAGTAACGCGACCCCGCACCTACAAATGCCTCCACACACACCCCAACACACCCTGTCTGAGCGATCCCCGGCCGATACCCGTTACCTGCATTGCATACTGCACTGCTCGTGGCTTCTGCACGACCTCATGCATGATCTGCATTGCAAAATGGGTATCCGAGCATGCGCGCCGCGAAGTCATGTACCCAAGCCACGCTGGACGTGGAAACGCGTACAAGCGGCGCCAGGTGTTTGCTGTCTGGGCTGAGTTATCTCACGGTAGTGCATCTGTCGGACTATGGTCTGCCGGTCCTGCGCGGCTGCCGCAGCTGGGAACGACTGCTGTCGGTTCAGGTGTCATGAATAAAACACTGCACACCGCCTCCACGCCAAGCGCGCAATTCTTCCGACCGCTGGTGGACTGGAGTCGTCTTTTTGTGGCATTGTTGGCCTCATGGACGTTCGTTACGTAATGTAATGTTAATGCAGGTTTGAAACCGATTATCCCTGCGTCGGATCCTGTACACTGGTGACGTCACCGCCTCACGTCTGTTGCGTCACCTGGTGACGTCATCGCTTCACGTCTGATGGGTCAGGCTTGACGGGGGTCAATGTTGGAATACACCTCATGACTGGAATGCAGCTGGCTTGGCCATATGACGCTCCCAGATTGTGATGCGGGAGCGCCCGCCATCATGTCCGCTTGGAACGTCGCGACGCCTTGGCCTGTTTACGCCATCTCGAAATTACTGATGGATAGGCTGTCTGCTCTGACAGAATGCTGGCTTCTGTTTGGCGCCGTTTTGTTTTGCGCGGCAGACCTCCACGCGCCACTACCATACACGGATTCCAGCAGTTTGATACATCCCTATGCTCGTTCTGTTTCTATGCAACAAATTCAGCGAATGATAACGTGCTCACTTATTCAGGGATTCTATACCCTCCCCCCAGGTTCTCCAGCAATTGCATAGCGAGAGAAAATGCATGACACTTGGCGTCAACAAAGGGATAATGCACTTTTCGTATTGCTAAGTTTGCAAAGAAGGCACTTTGTGCAGTACAGACAGCTGACATGGAAGCTAAAGTGTAGCCATTGAGTTGACTTCCCTATGTCCAAAAAATCAAACATCAATAAACAGGCGCCCGTGTAGCCGGCTGAATGCGATGCGCTCGGGCCGGGGATCACTTGCAGGCCCTCGCCCCACCTCCCCACCCCCCCCCCCCCCACCCCCCTTCTTCATCAGAACTCTCAATTTACGTAAGTTGCTCAGTGGCATAGCGAGGAGCAATTATTCACATAGATAAGACAATAGTATTGGCCTTATTCTCGGGGGAAAAAACAGAAAATGGAGATACAGTTGTGTTATAACCAACTGTATCTCCCTTCCTGGTTTTTCTCCAAGGAATAAGGACAATACTACTGTCTTATCTAGAGCTCTCAAATATCAAAAGAGCCGTGAAAATAAAGAGCATGCAAGGTAGGTAGAGCTCCACGTGAACTCTGCGTCAAACTTTGAGGTCTCTGGGCCATGAATTCAAGGTTAAATAAGGTAAAAAGGTCAACCTTCAGATTGGTGTTCGAAGTGCTCAGACTTCCTGAGGCAATGAAGTTTAACTCATAGCATTTTAAAGCAAAAGGTACTGGTGCTTATATCAGGTCAATAATATTACTTGATCTTGAAATATTAAGGTAACAGCTAACCCTCAAATTGTTTTCATATTTTGATTTACAGCCGGCGCCAAGAACTACGCTAGGCAGCATCTTCCTGAAAGCAAAGCGGTTGATCACAGTCCACTTCTGGTCAGTGACCTGCCCTGACCTCATGAAGTCAACAAGATATGTTTTGATGTCCCTGTGCTCGAGGAATTCAAAGCGGCTTTAAAATCCATCCCATTGAGCGAGTTTTCCAGTAATAAAGCGGCTTGGTTTTTACCTTGGTTTGACACTTATTTCTGACCCCAGGCCAATGCATTTAGTTTAAATTCTAAGTGCGATTGTCTAATAATTTATAAAACCATTTTAAAGTTTGCATGACTTCGTCTGACAATCCGTTGGCACGTCAGGCCGAACGGTTCGCTAGAGGTTACCTCCACTAACAACCATGCCCTGATTTCGACCGGCTTTAAGCCAGCGAACTTGCAGGGGATATTTTGGTTTTAGATACAAAGATCGGTCATTTAGTTGGATAAATCACGTCGTTCGGAAGTTTTTCTGAAGAAAAAAAAATGTTTTGGGGTTGGGATCAAATTGCCTTGGCCCACCCGAGCGCGTGTGAAGCGGAGTTACATAATGCGTGATATAATGAGCTCCTGTATGAACACTTAAGAATATTTTTCAAAGTCGATGCAACGAAGAATAAGCGAGTGTCGTTTAAACCTTCCCCCTGATCCACTGGTTTTAAAAATTTAGCTGATAAGAGGAGCCGATGCGACTTACCCCTTGTTGTTTCCAAACCGAGAACGAGTGAGCCTCATGGAATAACCAGTGGAGAGATCCTCTACGATACCATGGGAATTGAGCAAAATGATGCTCGGTCAACAATTTGCCTGCACTTTGCCAGCTAAAGATAAACTTTTCCTGAAAATCGTATTTTTCCAGGTTTACATGCCAATACTTACGGAGTCATGCGAGGCAGCCATGTGCTCCTTGTTTTCTTCCGAGTATGTTGGTGTGTAGTTTGTATGTTTTGGTCATAGTTGTATGATGTAGTTCATGTAACAGCGTCGTGCCCGTTGTGCGTGACTGACGGATCCGTCCGTTGCCAGCCGCCGGTCTCGCCGTTCGTAGATTACAGCTGGCCGACGTACCGGCAGTGCAGTGTCTGAAAAACCGCCACTTCGCGTTGCCACTCGGAAATCAGAAAAAGCTAGAGACATATCTAGCGACATAAGCTATAGCTGCATAAACTCTAGCTAGCTATATAAGCTAGATAGGGACATAGGGTGCTCGAACATTTGCAATGAACTCCAACGTAAGAAGGGGTTAACTCCAAACAGATGAAATGAGCCTTCTGAAAATTTGGGCGAGATTGCGCGGCACGCCAGAGAGATATTCACAGAAGACCTTCTAAAGAGGGGGGAGGAGCGGGATCGCATCGGACAGCCAGCCCACCCCACAGACAGGACGATGGTCAAGAATTATCTGCATCGTAACATGCTGGACAGGCGCACGTGGATTACTTCGACACTTACCATTGAAATGGCATTTGTTCGTAACATATTGCGTTAGCAATTTTCCGGCAATGTATGACATTTGTACCCGAATAATTATTGCAAACAATCGCTCGCAAATGAGGACAAGGTCCGTACGCCCACTCTCACCACAGTGCATGGCCTAACGCCTTGTTCGTGCCACGCCGCTCCGTGTCGTCATCTGGTCCGCTATGACCCCGTTCTCGGCCTCCGCAGCTCTGCGCCGCTATATCATCGAGGTGACGATCCGTGACCGGGACATCCAGCTGGACGGCACAAACGTGAGCGCCTCGCTGCGATGAGCTCTGCCTACGGCAGCCACGCGGGCTGTCGCCTTCGACGAGCCGACCCCAGCAGAGGCCGTCGCCATCGACGAGCCGATCCCAGTAGAGGCCGTCGCCATCGACGATCCGACCCCAGCAGGGGCCGTCGCCACCGACGAGCCAATCCCAGTAGAGGGCCGTCGCCATCGGTGGTCCAATCCCAGCAGAGGGCCGTCGCCATCGGTGGTCCAATCCCAGTAGAGGGCCGTCGCCATCGGTGATCCCAGCAGAGGGCCGTCGCCATCGGTGGTCCAATCACAGCAGAGGGCCGTCGCCATCGATGATCCGACCCCCGGCAGGGGCCGTCGCCACCGACGAGCCAATCTCAGTAGAGGGCCGTCGCCATCGGTGGTCCAATCCCAGCAGGGGCCGTCGCCATCGATGATCCGACCCCAGCAGGGCAGCGCTGTTCGTGCCGGCTGCGTCCATATGGCCTGTTCTCGGCTGTTTGTTTGTGGTTTGGTGGTGATTGATACGGTAGACGTCCCTGACCGGCGGCTGGACGGTCCACTCGGCATGCCTCAACGGGGCGGTCCGAGAGGCGCTGGTGGCGGTCCAGGATCCACCCCACAGGATTGGCGGCGGTCCCGGGTCCACCCCACGCGACTCGCTTCTGCACAGTGCCATTGTCCACCCTCAACAGCTCGCTACTGCCCATTGTCATTGTCAAAAAATGCTTGTGTGGGTCAAAGGAAGGTTTGTTTGATTCACGCCAAGCGTCGCGTACCAGTGGCGGGATTTCGCGGGTCTGTCTTGCCGTGGTCGACGGCATGCCGGGCCTGTCACGTCTTCGGGAATGCGACATCTCCAGTAGGCATGTGAATGAATGCTGTGTGTCGTAAGATATGATGCGATATCTGTTTACAGATCGAAGCTCGCTTTCGTTTCAATCGCACACGGTTTCAAGACTCCAAGCCTCTTCGAATAATTGAAAACCCGTGAGTGAATCATCGCATCCGTTCAATTTTTCAGGCTGAAATGTTCTGCCAGTCACCCTTGCAAGTTATTGATCATGTCTAAGACATTCCTATGCTGTTAAAGTTCCCCTGATGAACATTCCTCACAGACACTTCCATTTCGAATGGGCGGCAAATCTTCTTAACGCCACCTGACTGTTTCCGCACTGGCGCCGGTGGTGCTGGCGCTGACGCATGTCTGGGCGCCGTCCGCTGACGCCGCTGACACTCGCCCTGCCGGCAGCGCGGGCAGTGCCCGGCACCAACTGCAGTTCTCGCTGACGGCGCTGCTCGCGGACGAGGCGGCCGTGTACGGCTGGGTCGCCGACGCGGTGCGTCGCGGCCGGCTCGGGGACGTTCGCGTGCGCCCGCTCCGGTTCGGCTTCCGGTCCGAGCCTGAGCTGCTCATCATGGTGAGGGTCCCGGCGGACCAGCGCGGCAGTCACTCAGGCTCAGCACGGGTTACTGCTGCCGCTGCTGCAGCCGTACGCCGAACTTGACGCGCAAACTACAGCACTTACAAACAACTTGCGCTGAAAGGCTCCCGTGAGCTTAGCCATGCAGGAACTGCCTGGGCGCCTTCTTCCGTATCGCTATTATCTTTTAAGTTTGACTGGTCCGCCAAGCACGTCAGACTGGCCTGTCCGCTGACTTTGCCAGAGCTTGACTGGTCCCGTGTCTGGCATGGTCCGACCGGCTGACGGGACCGTCGAAATCTGACTGGTCACTCGTGTTGGTCAGAGGCTGACTGGTCACTCGTGTTGGTCAGAGGCTGACTGGTCACTCGTGTTGGTCAGAGGCTGACTGGTCACTCGTGTTGGTCAGAGGCTGACTGGTCACTCGTGTTCATCATAGAACCACCGTTGCGCTGTGTTCCGCAGAATCTGACCGGTCCTCTGCGTCCGTCACGGTGTGGCTGGTCCAGATGTCCTTCAGGGTGTGGCTGGTCCAGACGTCCGTCAAAGTGTGGCTGGTCTACATACCGGTCAGAGTGTCCAGATGACCGTCAGAGTGTGGCTGGTCCAGATGTCCGTCGGCGTCTCATCCCCGTGTACTGTGCCGCCAGAATCTGATTGACCCACCATTGCGTCAGAGTCTGTCCGGCCCTCCGTGTCCACCAGCACCTGATCGGTTTGCCGTGTCTGTCAGCGCCTGATTGGTTTACCGTGTCTGTCAGCATCTGATCGGTTCACCGTGTCTGTCAGCGCCTGATTGGTTCATCGTGTCCGTCATCGTCTGATGGGTTCACCGTGTCTGTCAGCGTCTGATGAATTCGCCGTGTCCGTCAGCATCTGATCGGTTCATCGTGTCCGCCAGCGTCTGGTCGGCTCAACGTGTCCGTCAGCATCTGGTCGGTTCACCGCGTCTGTCAGCGTCTGATCGGTTCACCGTGCCAATGAGAACTGACCGGTGCACTGCGTCCACCAGGGGCTGACTGTCGACAACGAAGGCACTCCCAGGTCGCTGGGGTCCCAGGTGCGGCTGACCTGCCGGGTCCGTGGCGCAGCGACCGCCGAGGTGCGCTGGTACAAGGGTGGCGCGCTCATCAACGCCACCAGAGCCTCCGCCATCAGGTGAGGCGGCACGGTCCATTCCAACCGTATTTGAGCGCGTTGGGAAGTTGACATGAGACTCGACTTGTATCATTTCGGGTTCGCATCATTATGGTTTGTATCATTCGACTTATCATCAGGTTTGTATTAATCCAGAAAATTGAGGTTTCGCCTCCAGCCGAACGTTATTTTGCTTCCAAATTTAAGGCCCGTTGTATCATATTACTGTTTGACCAGCCCTTCTTGGCATGCTCCATGCAGTGCGGGCTAGACAATTTGTTCGTTACCACTGAAGCAGCCAACAACCGTTCCGAACCCAACCCGGTGGTAGCCCAATGCTGCCCAGTGAGCTGGGGCGCACGCCATCAGTCATCTACAGTGCAAACCCTGACAGTGTAACAGAAAGACGACACCCGGGTCTGCTTATCTAGCGGTGTCTAAACACGGCCGGCGCGCCGCTCGCGCCTGCCTGCGGAGACGGCCGGGCGGCGGCGCTCCGTGCCCGCGCGCGCTCAGTGTGCAGACCGTCCACAACACGCGCACGGGACTTCCGACGACAGCTGCGGACTGCGGACTGCAAACGAGCGGACGGTGTCTCTCTGTGCCAGCGTGCACTCAGCGCGCAGACCGTCCTGAACACGCGCATGTGACACCCGACGACAGCTGCGGACTGCTGACGACAGCGCAAGCGACGGCTCGTCAGCTGTCTGCTCCGCGCACGGTGGATTGCCGTTCACTGAACAGGGCCGTAACCCAAAGCTACAGCCCTGTCGCCACCACTGGCCAAGGTCTCTGGTTGACGACCTGTGCACGTGCAGGTCAACAGTCACCATGAGGTGCTGCATAATGTCAGCATTAGTGGTTGGAACTCGGTACCCACGGATTCACGGAAAGCTCGCTGCAACAGGAATTGCTACGCTGGAGACCGGTAGTGGCGGGTAAAGTCGTATAGCAGTAGGGGCAAGATAGTAGAGGAGATCAAGTAATTCAAGTTGTAAACCTTCTCTGAGCCGGTTCAGCATTTATCATGCACAAAGCAGCTGGGGTGGTAACTCATACTAAATAGTAAATAATACTAAATAGGCTTAAACAGTATTATTTTAATTCGGATGACTGCTTTCGTCGGGTGACTGACGTCCAATCATTGGATCCATGAAGCATACAGTAAGCCGTGAGCGTGAAAGAAATTATCTTAACACTCCATGTTTCCCAAAATCACCTAAACATGATTTTCACTGAAGTGCTGAACATACATCGCGCAGAGAAATGCCCAACACAGTTCGCACCGATATGCGGGCCCAGCCTATCCCATCAGACGGGGCGTGTATATCCCCTGCACGTTCCCTGCACGTCTTCGACAAAGCTTGCGCGACAACGTGGTGTATCAGGCCAGGCGCGCACTGTGGCCTGCCTCCTACGTGGAGGTGAGCATGCGCCCCGTGAGACTTTATTATCTGCTGCAGGAAAGGGTGGGCTCTTCGTCTAAGCCCGTATTTCTTCAATGGTCTCACGGTCTTCCCTCCGCCTTCGTCTTCCCTTCTCTGACAAACCCTCCACAAAATGCCCGCTCCAAACTCCTTTTCATGTCAGGTTTCGCGTCGGACAGCGAGGTTCCAACCTCCAGTCGCCACGTCAATAATCATGTCCTTTCAGCTTTCCTCCACTCAAACTCCACAAAACCTCATGTCCTTTCAGCTTTCCTCCACTCCTCTTTCCTCATGTCCTTTCAGCTTTTCTCCACTTTTCAGCTCCACTCAAATCATGTCCTTTCAGCTTTCACCCCGCGTGCATTCCCACACTGGCAAAATCCGCCTTTAAACGTAGCTGATGACTTTGACACACTCTCCCACTCGATCCCCTGATCCTACAGGTCATCATATTACGTTAAAATGGCGGGGGCTTGCGCCCCTGTGCTTCTTCGAGGAGTTTGAGTCCCGACTACACCACTCTCGCGCTGTACCTCATCATCGTCGACATCATCGCCAGAAACAAACATATGTTCAACGCTAGTATCACTAGTCTCGGCCTCTGGCATCGTCTGTCCACCATCGTAATCAGTCCACCATCATAATCAGCTCACCATCATAATCAGTCCACCATCATAATCAGCCCACCATCATAATCAGTCCACCATCATAATCAGCTCACCATCATAATCAGTCCACCATCATAATCAGCTCACCATCATAATCAACAGAGGCCGGCACGGAATCAAGGCTACTTACAACGCTTGGCCTTTGTGAGTGTGCCAGCTCGGGCCGTGACAGCAACGCGAGGCGAAGGTCACGTACGTGACGCGAAACACCATCAGCTTCAACACTCTGGCATCACGCCACGCAGCTCACAGTACCAAGCGAACTCGGCACATTACAACGTCGACTAGAATCGCGTACCCGTATATGATCACCCACACTGTACCGACCTTGCTCTTCATACGAATTCGCATTCGCATCGGGGTCAATATCGCAGACTCGAGATGCAAAATTGAAGAGTGTCTGCAGGGGTGGAGGCAGGCCATCGTTGCGCGGCATCACGTTATACCCATACACAGCCTTCGCCACCGCACAACCCTGGCGTGCTGCGAGAGTCTTGACGGATCGGAAATATCGTTCCCCGACGGGGCATCTGAGCGATAACACTGTCAATGTCCTGCCACCCGAGCCGTCTCCAAATGACGCACCTGGAAGGGCCGCAATCCATCAGTGTCAAGAAATGCTGACCATCAACATGACAGATGTTCATGCTCACTCGGTCCCAATTTTGCATTACATCCAGCGAACCATGTTGCCATCTCTGTGGGGTCGGATCGATAGACTGACAAGCTGGCCACCGGCGCACCACCTGCTGTATCTGTTCCCGCGCCGCGGATGGGTGCAACCTCTGCAGAGGTGGAGCGTGCGCCTGATGCCCGGTTGCCCGCTGGTCTCGTGCACAGCCATAATGTCCGGTTCCGCCACGGAGCTTCCGCAGACTCCCTGAGTCTCTGGGCCGCTTTAGCAGAGCCGAGCGACAGCCACATCTTCGCGACTCTAGCCAAGATGCCGGCTCTGTTTTCGGCCGACGGAACGGAACAATCTTAACCTTCAGGTCAATATCGTAGTTAGCAACGACGCTCTCGATCGTTTCCAAGCGTCTTCGGATGAGCAGCTCACTTGCCGCTTTCGTCTTCAAGCGCGTCTTCCCAGACAGAGCGTCAAAGAGCCAGTAATACACTGTCATCGAGTCGGTGACGAGCGTGAAACGCTCCATTTTCCTTGTCACTTCGATATTTATGCCCCAAACCACGGCATCTGCTCAGCGAGGTTGGTATGGCAGTCCATGCTTTACGGAGCCAGCATGCATCTTCGATAACTTCTTCTTCAACTTAAAGGACGGCTCCTAGGCCGAGACAGCTTGCATCAGCCCACGTAACAGCGTCAGTCTCGGCCACGTCCCACCTCGTTCGAGCGGGATCTGATGCTCTGACACGCTGAAGTCTCTGCCATGCAACTGAGGACCGGTTATCTCATCGTCCCAGCTGGTTGCCTCCACATTGGCATGCCTCTTTAAGTATGACGTCACCACACGCGGCCAACCACAAACAAGAAGTGACTGGTCAGTCGACCACAGATGGAGAACGCAGTCCGCCTCGTTCTCTTTGACGGCAGCTCGATGTCGCTTTTCGCTTGCCGCCAGGACAGTTCATGCCATTACCCCTGGACTATCAGTCTCAGCACGTGAGCTCCGTCCTATATGCGCTCAAGAGGTTGCACACCAACCCATGCTGCTCCAGATGAGCCCTCGCGTCATCTGAACTCATGACGTCTCCCATCACCAGGACGTCGTCTACGTACGGACTGATGCGGCACCTATCTTTTCATCCCAGCTAAGCGCGATGCTCGACACCTTCCTCATGGCCAATGGCGCAATGCTCATGCCGAAACCGAGTCTGGTCAAGCACCCTTTTTGACCGCCAAACAACAGTTCGGTAAGCCCACAGCGATTGATGTCTGTTGATCTGTAGGTAAGCGTCACGAAGATCTAGCGGGGCCACGTTTCTTCCGCACCGGCGCCACTCTTTGATCTTTTCTGCACAAACGTCCGCGTCAGCCGTGTGCGGGTCACTTGGAGGGCGTTCACTAGGTGGGCGTTCACTAGGAGGGGCGTTCACTAGGAGGGCGTTCACTAGGAGGGCGTCCACTAGTAGGTGGGCGTTCACTAGGTGGGCGTTCACTAGGAGGGCGTTCACTAGGTGGGCGTTCACTAGGTGGGCGTTCACTAGGTGGGCGTTCACTAAGTGGGCGTTCATTAGGAGGGCGTTCACTAGGTGGGCGTTCACTAGGTGGGCGTTCACTGGTTACTGGGTGGGCGTTTACTAGGGGCGTTCACTAGGTGGGCGTTCACTTCTCTGAAGCTCAATACTGGCCGTGCTTTACGTTTCTCCTGTTTTATCACCGCTATGAAGGGGATCGTTCCTCTCACTTTTCCGTGTGGCCGTTCTTCGTGACGGACGGGCCACCCCCCCCCCCCCCCCCCCTCATCCACCCACTTTGAGAGAACTCGCTCACTCCCGGCGTGCTGCCGGCGGAATTCGATACTCTGCGATCGTGCTCAGCAACTTATCTGGGTCATTTCGGTCGAATCATTCCACTGAAACGACCGCTTCTTAGCTACCACGTTGTACGTCACAGTAAAACTAGTTTCATCGGAGCTGATCACCGTCGTGCACATCGCAGATGTATGATCAGGCTGCCGCCTAAGTTCAACGCCAAGACGGACGTCACACGTGCATAAATGGTCACACCTCGCATGGCGTCAACTCCGTTCATCCCCGAAATGAGGGAAAAACCAGGTGGTTTCTGGACTACAAGCAAAACATTTACAGCCAATCTGACCTGATTGCAGTGTCGTATCCACCACCACGGTGCCCTCGCACCAATGTCGTTCCCCGCTGACAGTGGTCAGCCACATTAACCCTGCACTTATTCCATCGCCAGCAAGCAGACACATGAACAATACTTTGCCTGCATGCCGTGTCTACT